CATGTTCCTGTCCTGTGTGTGTGTGTGTGTGTGTGTGTGTGTGTGTGTGTGTGTGTGTGTGTGTGTGTGTGTGTGTAAGTTTGTGTGATATGGGGTATGAGAGGGGGCCGCAGGTGCCAGACAGGCGGCCGTTTCACACCCGTCTTCTGTAATTGGCCAGAGCACCCACTCTTTCTTCAGTAGGACCCCCCTCAAACACACACACACACACACACACACACACATATAGATGCTATAACACACACTCACACACACTGTCGGAGGAATGAAGCAAGGCCAGCTCAGGCCTGACGCCACAGCAACCATGACGCCAGCCAATTATAGCACAGCAAGGCAAGGATGCGTGATAAAGTCACCTAGCAACTGAGGGAAGAGAGAGAGAGAGAGAGAGAGAGAGAGAGAGAGAGAGAGAGAGAGAGAGAGAGAGAGAGAGAGAGAGAGAGAGAGAGAGAGGGTGAGAGATTAACAGGCATGGACAATCAAGCAGCCACCAACCAATTATGGAAGAGTGTGATGCAGTTGCTTGGCAACCCAAACTGAATGAGCAAGAAGAGAGATAGAATGAGAGAGGGCTGGTTGGAGGTTGGATTTTGGTGTATAGAGGAGAATGGAGTATAGAGTATGTGTGTGGAGGTCTGGGGTTACAGCAGGGGGTTTCCTAAATCCACATGAAGTTATGGTGGTACCTGCTGAGGGCTGGAGCGAAGGTTGAAGTCTCTAAGAAGTCAAACTGAAGTTGGAGTATTTTTTTACATGTTTTAAACCCTATGAACTGAACTTCACGTAATTATATCCATTGTATTATATCCATAAAATCACAGATAGATATTTTGCACATTATATTGTATGATTTCCAAAATCATTAGAATATCTTTGAAATGTGCTTCAGTCACATTGAAATTCATGGTGGACATGAAACTAATATTTTCCAAGTTATCATTTGGAGGTTTCCTCATGCATATAATTTAATGGATTCTTCTCCACTAGGATGGTAGGAAGGAGAATGCATAGCTATTACATTCATTTAATATTATATTATTGTTTGAACAAGTAAAGGAACTGTACACAGATGCATTAATGCACCACAAACTGTTCATGCTGTGCAAACTCTGGGACACATTTTGGGTCCTAAGCCAAGACTTTGGAGAGAGCTTCTGCCAAACCCACCATTATTAATGAATTATAAAACTAATAAGATTAAGCAATGTTTTTTTAACAATACAAAGATAAATGGAAAAGGAGTAAAAAAAATGGTCAGAAAAATAAAAGCTAAGGATCTAGCGGCTCTTCATAGAAGCATAAAATGAAAAGGATAACTGTATACATCTGTCATGACTTTCAAAAGGTAAGAAAATCGGTTTTAAAACCTTAAATGTCAGAGGGAGCATTTAAATGTCAAACAACACTGAACTGTCAGACATTTCAAATGCTGCTTGAACATGTTGACAGACTGATGGCCTTAAGAAATGTCTCACCGCAAAAAACCTGAAATCAGAAGAAGGTTTCCATTCTGATATTTGGCCAACTCAGGGGTTTTTGCGAAGGTTATTCCAATGGAAATCAAACATTTGGTCTTCAACCTATTGAGGAAAATAATATGTCTCAGTATTTGGTGTAGATTGATGTAAATTTGATCTGCTTGTAATTCTTAATTTAAGGGGTTCTTTTTTGGTAATGTAGCCGTTTTGACAGATTTACCTTCTCAAGGAGAATATGTGGGATTGTACTGAGCCACTTTCGTACCACAATACGTCTACAAATGTAAATTTGGACGTTAGAACTACCATTAAACTTAACCCATGTAGACTAGATGAATAGTGTAGCTGTCTAGAGAGTTAAACTAGTCATTTTCCCCCTCCAGTCTTTCCTTTTTGGCTTAATTTGTCAGTTTTATTTCTATGGTAAAGGCACATAGTCATCTGACAGCACTGGGTGTACTTTCCAAAATGTGTGTTCATGTTTGCTGCAGTGCGTTCATTAGTTATGTTTTGCAGTTGTAGGAAAAGACGCCCACACTCTGAGTAAATGCTCCCCTCAAAAATTTCATTAAGTACAGCTAGGACATTTGAAAGACACTCTTAAACTCCTTCCAAAACTGCTCGTCTATTCTGCTATCTCGGATGCCAAGTATGTTGTTAAGTGAATTGTTTTTGGACTGCTGCTTCAATAACAAGGATGATACAATTATAAGCCATCTACTGTTTTTCGAGATCCAACCAGATCCAAGAGAGGGACAACAAGTACACGAGAAAGCCCTGGCTCTGACTCAGAACATCTCTTACAGGATACTTTAAAGATTTACTGAATTAATTTGTGCATTTAATAATGGAGCAGCTCATCCCTAATTGAGAATTCTCATATAGTATCAGGATATAAACCTGAATTCACATTATGGCTGCAGCTCAGGGAAGTAGTATTGGATCCAAACAGAGGAATATTATTACCAACATTATGTGGAATTGCAGCACATGTACTGTATCCTCCTGACAGACCTCACCGTAATGATGTTTCTAATGGCCTCTGGTGTGCTCTCTGTGACAGTAAGTGCATTGATGTTGTGCAGGCTTTCTGCAGTTGCTCCTCCCCGCAGTCTCTGCTACGCTAATCCCTCCCTACATGTATGTTCAATGATTTATGGTCATAATAACCCAAAAAGAGGATTAAGCTAATTAAACCACAGTGCTGCGCTTGTAGTGAACACATCGGGAGGGAATACGCCGCCCCCACATTTATATCACACACATTCACATACACACACACACAGTAAAGAGGCTGCATTGCTTCAGGGTGTCTTTCTTTTCTCAGTGAATGATCCAGCCTCTAAAAGCTCATCGTTGGTTGGCATGACTCGACTGTAGAATCACAAGAAGATAAAAGATACTGCAGCTAGCGGCCAGGCTAACAGAAAGCTAGCTGCAACTATAATAAAGCTGCAGCTCTAGGTCCCCGAGGCTACGCTAGGTGCTGCCCTGGGATGTAATGCTGTACTTAAAGGCGCCATGGTATGGTCCCTGGGATCATATAAGCCTGTAACACGCCGGATTAATGATGCCAAGGTTGCCAGTATTAACACAGTGGAAGGTCTGCAGGCTATATAGTGTAATCCAAGTGAATGTCAAGGAAACTGCTAACGCTAGATGATGACAACTGGAGGCCATGAACCACTACAGATCCTGTAAATGATGCTGTGGCTGAAGCTAAAGTTGAATAATGCTAGCTTCAGGTGGTACAACTCTGCATGGGCCTCGTGCTGTAGATTAGCAGCCTCAGTTATTATCGGACACCACAATCTGTGGTACACAGGTTTCTGTGACAACCGTAGACCAAAACAACCTCCAGTGTGAATGATTGCTAAATATATTTTCAGACAAAAAGTCATATTTTTTTAGCTCCTCTGAGTTTATTTTGTGATTTTACTTAGCTGTAAATGCCATCTTTGGTTTCACATTGAAGGAACAAGATCACAGAATCCCAGGCAGCAGCTCTTCCTAAAGTGTGTATTTTCTTATAAAGCAAGAGTGACAAGAGTGTTGTCAAGTTGTTCCTGGTCTTAAGCTGGTCCTTTGTTTTTTTTATGTTTTAGATGTATGTTAAACAAGAACAATTAAAGTGGTTTATTCCAAGATTTACGGAAAAGAAAAAATCATTTTCTTGATTATATTTCCTTTTCCCTATGTGTTAAAAGCAATAAATCGTAAGCTATTGCCCTTTTAATTGAAGCCAATCATCACTTCATCATAATCTGCATCAGTCAAATCAATTTTCACTTGTGTGTCTTCTTCATCAACCTCCGCCTCCACACTGTGACACTTTGGAAAGCTCACAGCAAATAGCCCCTGGACACATTAGCCTGGTGTGTGTTCTGTCTGAGGGTCAGTAAGAGGGCAGCTGTAGTTAGCAGGCAAAGCTGTGTGTCAGAGACGGTTGGACACGGCTGACTTCGCAATGTCATTTACTACCACTCTATCAATCATCAGGCAATTACTGAGGCAAGGTTTTTTGGCACTGAGCTGGAATCAAGGCTCACGAGGAAATTAATAAAAGCTGGAGGATCAACGGCGAAGCAGGAGAGGGAGGGGAAAGGTCCTAATGTCAACTGAATCTTAAATGTAAGGTATATTTTTATGTACATGCTGGGTTTTGTGCTTAGATTTTCTTAAAGTTCAAGGTTTAAGAACAAAACTGAAATTAATACATTTTGTAAAAACAGGGATGACATTGACATATTCTTAATTAGTTGGCTCAGAACCCAATCACATAGGCCTTCAAATAGATCAGCTGTAATTTAATTGTGTTAACAATTGTGTTTTTTTTCCACCTAATTCTTGTGGACAGAAAGCTACAGGACAAGCTGTATAAACTTGAACAAGGTCCTAATTTTAAATCTTTGATGCCAGATCTCACAGACATCTTCAGACAATTGGTATCTTCCCCGCTGATGCTCTGCCAGGCCTGCATTGCAGCCAGCGTTGCTTTAATTCCAAGGCTGCTCATTTGCGGCAGTCTGGTCTTTGGCAACAAAACACAATCAGTTGGATTGAGGTTACATGACTCAACTAGACAACCAAGATTGGTACAATATTTGGTCATTAAAGTGCTTGGTTGCAATGTCTGTATTTTCTTCGGCTGCTGGGAAAACTATGGCTATTTCAAAAATGTTGGCTTGTCATGTTTTGTTACACAAATAGCTACATTAAAAAGTCAGATTGCTTTCTTGTTTGTGTTAACTTAAACATTTATTTAATGATGTGGTCAAAAAGTAGAGGGGATACGATTTTTTGTTGTTAAAAGGATTTCATTTTAGTTGCACTTACTTATCAGATTTTAAGTGTTTTTAATGCTTAAATTGTTGATGCTGAAGTTATCCCAAAATTTGGTTTTGACTCAAGGAGTGCCATACCAATTTCTTTGTATTGCAGATCAGTATGACAATCAAGCTCCATGATTTGTAATCCGTGGTTGTAGTGCGAGCAACCGTCATCATATAATGAATGTCTTACCTGTGTGAGTCCTCTGATGTGCCTTCAGATGAGAGCTCTTGGTGTAAACCTTCCTGCAGCCGTTGAACTGACACCGGTGGACTCTCTTTTTGTTCTCTGGTACGTCTCCTCCCAGGCTTCCTCCTCCACCATGCTCGCCGTCACTGAGGGCTCCTCCTCGGCTTGGCGGCGACGGTAATGCTCGCGCTGCCACCAGTTTAGCCGCTCCTAATCCAACCTTCTTTGCCACAAGTTTGAGTGTTAGAGTACCGTCTGCCGTTGCAGTCAGTGTTTGTGTTGGCTTAATGAGGTGGCGGCCGAGCTCTGGTGACGACGGCGGCGTTAGGGATGTAACTGCTGCACTAAGCTGTGCAGCGCTAACTCCTGCGAGGGCATGGTCTTTTGTTGTTAGGGTTTCAGTCCCTGCTTCTGACTGGGTCTTGCTAAGGTTGGGCACATGGAGGATTTTGGCCTGAACCTTGGGAAGAGTCACCAGTAGAGGAGGCGGGCTGGGTTGGTCAGGGAGGCTGGGGAGGAGGGGGTCCATCAGGTCCTCGTCACTGTCACCACCCTGCATGAAAGCCGGCGTTAAGAGACAGTCCAGCTCCTCGTCAAAGAGTTCGGAGAGTCGCTTGGGCTCCGTTTGTAGATACCGCTCCAACTCTAGGCACGTCTGCAAGAAACAGAAACAAATGGAAGCAAGAGTCAGACATGAATACACTTTGCATTGATTCTACAATGTTTATGAAGACTCTACATATGAAAGACGTTTTGTCACAATAAGGTTTAAATGGCTCAATCAAAGAATTCAACACAATTCTCATATTCTGTACAGATTTGTTTAAGCAAAGCTCATAAGCCCATTTATCTCAAACAAGTGTTTGATGGACGTTATGGCGTCTTTGTAACCAGCCAGTTTTGTTGTTATCCCACTGTTACCACATTGCTAATACCATTTACAACTGATCCTTCAGAACGGGTTACTTCTCTGATAACAGCTTCAATTACTCTTTTTGGTATTATAGACTTTGCTGTCATCTTTTGTTCATGATTTCAATATTTCTATGAGACTAGCAAACTGTAATTATTCTGTGCAGATACTTCCAAAGCTCCCTCCAAGTGGACACTTTAATTCAGTCATTCCCTAAATACGTCTGAATGAATGAAACAGATATCCATCAACTCTTAGACAACAAAGTATCAACTATGTTTAACTCACAGACTATACAAAACAAGGAAGTAATTCCAGTGGTGTCACCCATTGGTTTCCTTAAGAGGAATAATGAAGCCCATCAGTGGCTGTCGCCATATTTGTAGGGAATGCTGTCTCAACCTAACTTTCAATCAATCAGGAAATAGGCTGGCCTTAAACCTCCTGTCAAAGAGCTACAATGTGCCAATGTGGAAGTCAACTCAGCCATACCCAAAGTTATCTTGGGCTGTAAGAAATAAAATAAGATACCTTTTTATTTTAAATCATCCCCGGTAGAGTGTGTACCAATAAACAAATAATGCAACAGACCCTGCATCTTCTCTATTTAAAACTACTTTCAAGCAGTCCTCTTTCATTTCTTTGTTGGTGCACTTCTATGTATCTTTGCCAGCAGCAGCTGTTACTTGTGGATTGAAGCGACATAAAACAGAATGGGCAACTACTCAAAAAGCTCCTTAGCTGTCCATATACAGGTAAAAACGCAACAGGGACTCTTTATGGAGAGAGAAAGATCATGGCTATGGTTAAAAGAAACCAATTTGTAGGAATTGGGACAAGAAAACTAATCCCCAATATCAAAGTTGAACAGCTTGTAAGCACAGTTATCCACCATTTCTTCAAGGGGAAAAGGTTGATTGTCAGCCGATGGAGAAAACAAAATTGTGCAATTGTCAGTTCAACAAAGGAAAGTCAAGCGTCTTGCAGCTCCTTTGTTGTTGGGATATTCAGTGTTTCCCCCTGAACTCTCCACTTTTACATACTCTGTGTACCTGTGTATTTAAGTCCAGATACCCACTGCAGGCTTTATATATTTCTCTGCAGCTGCTGACCACGTCACCTGGCACACGGCAGTCCTGAGAGAAGAAGGATTTAGTCTGTGATTGATTGCTGCTGCCTGGGCCAGCTCTCTAGAGCCCTGAACTGTGGAAGCCTTGCCTGTTTCCCTCTGCTCACCCAAATCAACCAGCCGTGGAAGTTATATCTCACGATAGAGGAAGGAGGGAGTGCAAGATGATGGAGGGAAAGTCAAAGTAAGAAAAAAAAAGGTGAAGGAAAGGGGATTAGGAGAGAGAAATAGAGGAGAAAAACTGGTATTTCTGTAATTGTTTATTCAACCTTCATGCAGAGATTACTTAGACATCTGTGCTTTCAAGAACATAGCAGTGCCACTTTTGTAGCAGAGCACAACCACCACAATTGTTGGTCTGCTCGACTCCGCTGGTCAAGGGTTGGTCACATTACCTCAAGGGAATTATCCAGAATCCTTTAGGTCAATAACTTACTTCTCTTTCCTTAAAGGCTATACCTCACTTTACTCACTTTCATGTTTCTTGTGATGCCTGAATCCTCTTGCTTGAACTACAAACTGCACTTCTGAGGTCGACATGGCATCGCTTATTCGATCTGGCTCCTGCTTTGATGTCAAACACCTGCAACACTTGTTTCATTGAATTTCTGCTCCTTATCCAACAGGGAAAACGAGACAAAAGTAGCCGTTGTTGCTTTGAAGAGTTACAGATTCAAAAAGTAGTCCTTCAAACCTATACTGGTCCTGGTGATATTGTTTCTGTGATGTTTGTTGTTGTATTTGGAGAGGGGGAAGGACCGCAGCTTCATAACTGTGCACTCAGCACTTTCTTTGCAGGCTACCTGGCTCCTGCACTGTCCTGCAGCACAGAGCCTGCACTGTATCTACTCAGAAAATGAATTTCCTATGTTTGGCCAAAGGCCTCTGGCAGCTGAAGGTTCTCATCCTGATCCCTTGGCTCTTTCCACCTCTGCCATCGGAGCAAATGACAGCCACTATAGAATTTTTTTTTTCTTAGCTGCAGCTGGTTGACTTGGTTCATTCAGCTGGGCCAGCGCTAGAGCTTTGCTCTGCTCAGCCTCAGTGACGAGACAGACAAACCAACACATTTAGCCTGAACATCTGTTGAGTGATGATAAGCTGAACTCCCCCCACCCCCCTCTCTCTTCTTCTCTCCCTTTCTTCTTCTGTTTAAAATAATATCTTTTTTTCCTAAGGATGCTCATTTGCATATGAACATGAATCAAAGTTATTTCTTTGGGGGGTTACACTGCTTCATAAAGAAACTTGAAAAGGAGACTCATGTACGCACAAAAGCAGTGTTGTCGACAAGTTGCAATGTCTTTCTCACAGCTGATACGAGTGCTGAGGACAACCTTACTGTTAGCCTTAAGTCCAGATTGTTGCTGTGATTTGTTAGTATTGGTATTCCTTTCAATAGTTGCAGCAATATCAAGTTAAGCATTGCCAAGGAGACTATGACGTTAAATTACACAAGGCTTATGCATCAAGAAACTAATACTGGAAATTTTGAAATATAAATCCAATATTTTAAATGGATCTTTAACAGTTAGAAGCTGTATATCGATCATGATTTAAACCAATCAAATCAACTTAAATGATTCATAATCACCAATGATGATATTTTGAGTTTTTTGCAAAATCTTTCAATATGTTTGTAACATTAGTCTATATGGTTTTTAAGAAAACTTTATATTAGGTTTTGTACTTTTTTAGTGGATGTGGTGATCATTCTTACCAATCATGATAATTATAATGATTTATATGCCATAATTTAATTCAGTTGGCTTTTTTAGGTTAAACTAAGACACTGAGAAGCATTGACCTGTATATATGTATCCAATTAATACTCATACTTGTCCTTTGGTAGATATTTTATGCCAAAACATATCAACTCAATGTCAAAAACCTGAAGAGGGCTGCTTGTGTCACTGTGAAGGAGTAGGCACTCAGCTATTTAAAAAATAAAACATTTTAACTTTTTTTTCTTTTCAGGAGAGTGCCTCTGGAACCAACTCGACGTTCACTGGAGCTTTTTCTTGAAATGTCAAATTTATCCTCCCGCAGAAAACACTTTATGTCATGGAACCAAAGTTGATGTCTCATGATGACGCTGATCCTGATTTAGTTCACGGAAGTTGGCCAGTGGATAATGTGGAAAAATTTACAACAATGCACAACGAGCTTGATGCGGTAATAACAGATAACATCATTGTTTTCCTGTGGTGGATAATATTCACATGTATTGGCCTTAATCTCACATCATTTGGTTTGTTATTTGTTATATTGCTTGGCCACATTAATCGTCAAGCTGGTGTGTGTAATTGTATCTCAAATAACTGAAATGATGATTAAAACTACAATAATACAAACAGACTTTTTGTTTTGCTCTTTAAATGAACCATATTGTTGTCTATGGAGTCCTTGAAGGGACATCATGATAACATTGTTTAGACTAGAAAAAATGGGAACCATTTAAAAATATGTATATTTTCTTTCTTCTCTGTGAAAAACTGAACCTGGGTAACCCCAATATTATTGCGGACACATTTATTGAATTTGAATTCATACAGCTACAGATTCAAAATAGCACAAGGATGTAAAGGTCATGCAGAGGACTTTCATATAATTAATGCAGCTTTTCTGTTTCATTAATGTCACCAGAAATTAGGTTTTCCTCCTGAAGGATTTGGGCGGTTTCAGGACTCCCTTAAAATTACAATTCTGCCACTGTACTGCATGTCTTGTATACATTATTCATAATCACAGCAACCATGAATATCAGCTCTCTTTGATACAGTAAGTAGTCTCTGTTTGTGATTTCTGGCAGCATACTGGAGCATTGTTTCCACTTGGACTAGAAATCCAAAATAGAAAGGTCTGTGTGTCTCCTGGCGGGGGCTGGACTGATGCTGAGGATTGTGGGAGGTGGGCGAGGGAGGACAGAGGGTAGAGAGAGCCCGAGGCGGAGCGGCTATCAAACCCACGGCTGGCAGCGAACACACCGCCTCTGACATCACACGTATGACCTTCTCCTTGGTCTGTTTCTCCTACACACCATGAATATCAGGTAACAATGACATGTTGGGCCCGCAGCGTGTGTGTGTGTGTGCGCGTGCGCGTGTGTCTGTGTGTGTGTGTGGCTGCTGGCTAACAACTCAGACTGATAGCATGTGCAGGGCTCACCTCCTGTCCCTCTGCTCAGTCCCACACCATATGGAGAAAGGTCATATCGACACACACACACACACACACACACTTACACACACACACACACACGCTCACACTAACACAAACAAGGGCAGCCGGTCACACTCCTTTTAATTTTTCCTATAAAATCATGTTATTCCATCGACTTTTGGAGCATTTCAACACTCGAATCCCTGATGGACACAAATCCCTTTGGTTGAATCGTCATCTCAAACAATTGAAGCACTGAACTGAAAAAGAATCTGCTGCGCTGACAAAAAAGTCAACGCTTCGAGACGGGGGGGGGGGGCAACACAACTGCTTCAGGACAGGGGTCAAACAGAGTCCAAGAGTCTGCTGCAGAAAGAAACAACCAATCAGAAAGCTTCATGTTCTGATTCTGGCAATTAATGAGGGGCTGAGGTTAGCAGGGGATGCTCTG